AAAATCATGATACTTTATCAATTTTTTCTATATCCACACATTTCTGCCCATAATGTTTTCTCATTTGGCAAAACACCGGTCAAGCCATATCTGTCAAGCTTGCTCTGAGATTTCCCCATACTGGCTGTTTCTATTTCCCCCGTGGATTTTCCTTCGACGCGTCTAATAATCTGTCGGACGTCTCCAACAGATCCGATCTCTTAACCCAAGATCGGTCAAGGTGCACTACCAGCGCTTTATCTACTGAAAATCTTTTGACCCCGCTGCAGATCTTCAATTACCCCACAGATTAGAGTCCACCTGAAATCTCTTGACCTGCTTTCAGCTCTCAAGTGATCTCGGACCGTAATCTGGGCGAAATCTCTGACCTGACAAATGTCAATTAATTTCAGATTTACGAAAACTCAGTGTCCATATGAAATTTCTTGACCTGACAACAGGTCTCAATTAATCTTGGACTACTCTCTTATTCGCAACCACCGAAATAGACCCCAGCCAGTACAGTTCCTCTCAATTATATACCCAATATAAAATGAATTTAGCTGTGTCTTACCAGGATGTCTTTTCTCTGTGCCTCGGGTTCTTTTTGATTCCAGTGGAGCCTCTCCTGGGCCTGATAGCGGTCGGCCCCTCTCTCTCAAGCTTACGAGGTAGAGCTGGAACTGCTCAGTCCAGGTGGCCAAACACCGTCCGCTCTCAGGTCCAGAAGGCACTTCCAAGGAATCCCATTCTTCTGACACCAATTGTTAAGGCAAAAATTCAATAAACAGACATCACTTCGTAAGAGACACTCTGAGTCAAATTAATAAAGGAAAAGGTTTATTATTCTTGCAAGAACAATAAGGCTCAGTCACCAACACAGATTACTGCGAAGTGGAGTGACGCCCAGAACACAGGCCGGGGTGAAGACTAAATAGCCCTCCCCAAGGTTATTTACTGCAAGCCAAACCTTCTCTGTAAATTTCCACAAAGTATAGGATTCATGATGCCAGGTTAGATTTACTAACCCCCTCAACCCCTCCCAGTCTAAGATGACCCCTGACCCGGCCGGTCCTCTGGTGCCTAGCTCCACTCCTGATAAGGGAGAACAAATCTTCCCCCATCCCATAAGACATTCCTCTGTGGTTACATATAGAAAGTGAACATAATAAAGATTAATATATGTGAGATTAAAATTTCCACAACATAGCTTTCTTATTTTTAACCCGTTTAAGAGATTCACAATATATATCAGTTTCAATTTGAAAAAAAAAAAAAAAACATGGCCTTCATTTGGAGAATTTAGCTTAATGAATTATGGAATTTACCTTCATCATGTTGTTTAAACCAATGAGCATTAAGCTGTGTCGTCAGCAAGTCGTTTCCCATCATGCTTTTGATCAGCGCAGTCGGTGGAGAGCAAGTGCGCGCGACTGCAGAATCCGACCCTTCCGCCTTGCGCTTGCGAGAGTTTTTTTTTACATACGTCGGCATGATATCAGAGCCAGGCGGACCGTTCTCGGACACATTTCTAACCGGCATGCATCTCGCGCTGATCACCGGTGATCGATTCTGCGCAGAATTTGCTCATCTCAAACAAGCCTATGGGCTATATGCACGCATAAATTCCGCATTTGACGCATGGATGCTCGTCCATTTCCGGTTGTGTAGATTAAAGCGGAGGAAAACCGAGGAAAACGGGATTATGGCAGAGTCTTCAAAATGTACTGTCCTCCAGTCTTTGAAATGAAACGTACATATGTTTAGATGTAATTTTATATATAGTCATATTTATTTAATATAATTTTAAAAAGAAGCATAAACACAACGAGGGGTGTCTGTTTTATCTGTTTTTGTGACTAACGTTTCGTTAGTATAACCATGGAGTATAAAATTCAATATAAATTCTCGGTATTGCATTGGACTCTCTACGATCGGCGGAAAGTTATCAAGCATCCCTAATGCTTCACCGGAAATACCGCCGTGCATAGAGCCCATTGAATCAACGTGGAAACGACGTCTCTCATGACATTGAAACAACGTTGATTTTGCTCATCGAATTAACGTTGAACCAACGTCAGACGCGGCATTCTTCAAAGCTAAATGAAAATCAAAAATTGGTTTGCTTTCATAACGTTGAAACAACGCGTTGATTTCAAGTTGATTTTCCGTTAGTTTTGAAAGAATGACGCGTCTGACGTTGGTTCAACGTTAATTCGATGAGCAAAACAATGTCAGATCAACGTTGTTTCGATGTCATATTTCCACGTTGATTCAATGTCAGTTTGCTATCTGGGAGCCTACATGAAAGAGGATTAGAAAAACGAGTTGTCAATTTCATTACGACTTTTCATTACGTCCCATCTTCTTTGCGACCGTCAGAGCCAGCTGATAAGTTACACTTTTGCCGAATCATGTAGGAAGGAGGGCAAACTAAGATGTCTAAAAAACAATCCTAACCATTCTATTTCATCAGAAACGATCTTAAAACAGGGCTTTAATTGTAAAATACCAAACTTGTCCTTTAAAGGTGGAATACCTAAGATTTTTGCATTAAAATATCCCAAAATCACAAGGCCAGTGTTATATATTTAGTTAAGATAATAACTTACAATATTCCAAATGTTTCAAACAATGTTTAAATCGTGAGAAAATGGAGATTTTAACCAAGGAAACGGGGCGTGTGAGCAGGGAGTCGCCAGTCAATCGCGTCATATCCGCATTACCTCGGTGTCCGCTCGTATTGCGTGTAGTCCTGGACAAATGTGGAAGTTGTAGTTGTGCGTTAGCGTCTATCAAGCAACAAACGTCAGCTTGTTTGGCGCATTTGTTATGGAATGGGGCACAATTATTCTTTAGTGATTGCACCTGGTTCTGTCGACAAAGACAAGTCTCATAAATGCAAACGTCAACGAACGGGTCAACCAAATCCCGTTACAACTCCAGGTATCGCACACCGGACGAGAAGCGCCGTGCCACGTAGGCCTATAGGACAACTCCACAGTAACGTTATCGAACACCGGACGCGCACTTTCTCATCAGTGTATGGCCAGCAATATTGTTATGTTTAATGACATGAAAGGAAGATAATGTCTGTTCCATGTTATGATTGTACTGTACAATTAAATACAATCGTTGCTGAGTCTGCAGTCTGAAAATTTTACCTCAGAGCATCCGTTAACTGAATGAATTAAGAATCTCACCTGAAAAATCTAATAACATCACTAATTGTCATTCAAGCAGCATGACTGTAAATTAATGCAAAACTAAATGCATATTGCAGCAGGGCGAAGTCAGGATCCATTAGCAACAATTTGAGACAAAAATAATTACAATTTTATATAAAACTATGTAAATGGTGCTCTGTGGCGCAGCAGGATTTTGAACACGGTCCTGAGGCGTTGTTGCTGGGCGCCGCGGACAGACGCCGAATGGCGCCGCCGGTATGTGTACACTTATAGAGAATAATGTGTTTGAATTTTAAAGATGTGGCGCGACGCGGCGCTGAGCTTCTCGTCCAGTGTGCGACCACCTTAACGTTAATTTTGTGAAACTGTAGCTGTGGTTGAATTCTTACACGACATGAAAAGATGTGTCAAATGTACATTAAATAGATTTTTTTTATTTTTATAAAGTTACCAAAAAGGAGGAGCAGCCACGTTAATTCCTTGCAGAGACCTGGAATGCCCCTTCAAACCCTCTCCACCATAGCTTCGGCCAGTGACTCGTACAGTAACATCTGTGATAACTAATTTACTTCTCTTGCGGTTATTTCAGTTTAATGAAAAACAAGCATGTCATTAAACGCAACATTTATAGAAATCGAACTTTACCTCATCCATGATAACTAATTTTCGATTCCTGTCTGACTGATTTATCCACGGTGGAGTTGAAAACAACAATTCCCATCATTCCACGTTCCTCCACGTCGTCATCAAGCAAAGCCGTTGTTGTTATTTTGAATGCAGCGCCCTCTAGCGGAATCTAAATCTTAGGTATTGTGGTTTTTAACCTCTTGACGATGCATAATGGCTTCTTTAGTTTAGCAAACAAATCGCTCGAGTGGGTGTAAATACCACTCACTTTCATGTTTTTTTATGGCACAGCTTACAAGACTCGCTCTATGCCATTGCTGCTTCTGCAAACCACTGATCAATGCTACAAACCAACACATTTGTTGACACGTTTCCTGCCTGGAGTTTTCGCGTCGCAAAGTACGTCACCCGGATCGTTGGTCTGATTGGTTGAAGGACTATCCAATTGCGTACAGAGTAATTTGAACTATGCCCGTTGATCACGCCTCTTGTGCAGTAGAAAACACAAAGCAGCCTTTCCCAGACTAATGTTTAATCTTAAAAGATTGAGCTTGGTCTGGTGATAGCCAAACTAGGTAAGAATACCATTAAATCCTTACTGATCCAGTACACACAAGTTTTTCACACCCTCGTGTATTTTCTGGTGCCTTTTAAAAGAGAAAACCCTTATGGCGCTTATCCATTACCAGTACCAGCTCGACTCGGCTCACTTTTCGCTCCGTTTTCCATTGCAGACAGTACCGCCACAAATAGTACCCGGTCGTCATAGCGACGCCTTTCGTTCCTTGCTGCCCCGTCAAGCTCTCGCTGGATCCTCACTTCGGCAACCAAAGGAAAGTCTGCACCTCCTCGTTTGACCACGGCGTATTCTTCAGAGTTGCCATAATAATAGTAGCAAGTTTAGAAAATATCTCTGGCCAAACTATTTAAAAATGGCGGGGTTACTCTGGATACGCCATCTGGCGCGTGCAATGACGCACGATTCTCTCTGACCAATCAGCAGTCGGCATTGTTTTCACGTCACATTTTAGTATCAACTCAGCTCACGCAGAACATTGCTGGAGGTGGTACTGAAAAAAGTTCCCGAAAGCAGGTACAGTTACAACTTTTACACAGTGGAAAACCAAACAATGGGGAGCCGAGTCGAGTCGAGCTGGTACTGTGTAGTGGAAAAGCGGCATTAGAAATTTCCTTCCACAAACAGGACAGAGGTCAGTCTTTTTATTAGGTATGCACTTCTGGTGGTTCTTCAGTAATGATGACAATGTAAGTATTTTACAGCAGTGATCAGTTAAATTACAATTGAGTGAGAGCGTGCAGATGACATCACAGTTCCATTTAAGTCTCTTCTCACACGAATGACATGCATAAGGCATCTCTTAAGAGTGAATTCTCACATGAATATTAAATGCTTTTTTACAGGTGAAACTCTTTCCACACTGAGAGCAGGTGAAAGGCTTTATTCCAGCATGAACTAACATGTGCTTCTTCAGGCTTTCTTTACGTATAAAAGTCTTTCCACACTGAGAGCAGGTGAACGGCTTTTCTGAAGTGTGAATAAGCACATGATAATTAAGGTTTCCTTTCTGTTTGAAACTCTTGCCACACTGAGAGCAGGTGAAAAGCTTTATTCCAGCATGAATTAACATGTGCCTCTTCAGGCTTTCTTTACGTACGAAAGAGTTTCCACAGTGAGAACAGGTGAAAGGCTTGATTCCAGCATGAATTAACATGTGCCTCTTCAGGCTTTCTTTACGTATGAAAGAGTTTCCACAGTGAGAACAGGTGAAAGGCTTGATTCCAGCATGATTTAACATGTGATTCTTAAAGTATCCTTTACGTGTAAAAGTCTTTCCACACTGAGGGCAAGTGAAAGGCTTTTCTGAAGTGTGAGTTACCAGATGAGCATTAAGGTGTGATGTCTGTGTGAAACTCTTGCCACACTGAGAGCAGGTGAAAGGCTTTATTCCAGCATGAATTAGCATGTGCTTCTTCAGGCTTTCTTTACGTAGAAAAGTCTTTCCACACTGAGGGCAAGTGAAAGGCTTTTCTGAAGTGTGAGTCACCAAATGATAATTAAGGTGTCCTTTCTGTGTGAAACTCTTTCCACACTGAGAGCAGGTGAAAGGCTTTATTTCATTATGAACTAACATGTGCTTCTTCAGACTTTTTTTACATCTGAAACTGCATCCACACTGAGAGCAGGTGAAAGGCTTGATTCCAGCATGAATTAACATGTGATTCTTCAGGTTTCCTTTACAATTGAAATTACTTCCACACTGAGAGCAAGTGAAAGGCTTGATTCCAGCATGACTTAACATGTGAGTCTTAAAGTATCCTTTACGTGTAAAAGTCTTTCCACACTGAGGGCAAGTGAAAGGCTTTTCTGAAGTGTGAGTTACCAGATGATCCTTAAGATGTGATTTATGTGTGAAACTCTTGCCACACTGAGAGCAGGTGAAAGGCTTTATTCCATCATGAATTAACATGTGCCTCTTCAGACTTTCTTTACATGTGAAAGTCTTTCCACACTGAGAGCATGTGAAAGGATTATTTCCTCCAGCATGAATTAACATGTGATTCAAAAGGCTTCTTTTATGTTTGAAAGTCTTTCCACACTGAGAACAGGTGAAAGGCTTTTTGACTTCTGTTATTTGGATGCTGCTTTGTGAGCAACTGTTTTCAGTTTTGGAGCAACTCAATGGCTTCTCTCCAGTGGTGACATCATGAACTTTCTGGTGATGTCTCTCCTCCACTTCATTCAGATCTTCAGGTCTTTCCTCTTTCACTTTCATCAGGCCTAAAAAGAAAAACATTAAAATGATGAAAATCAATTGGGACAGTTGGAAAATAAAAGTAAATTAGGGTATGTGTTTACACGACAACGATGGACTGAATATTTAAATGTTTTCCCTTCACATTTAAAAAAAATGTGGACATTTGAGAACGTTGTCAAAACAATCCCTGTTCACACAAATCCATAAACTAAAACCGCTGTATTGTTCTTCATCTTCATGATTATGGAACAAAATACAGGCAAATGATAAGACTATAATACCTAATAGTGTTACAATAATAAGAACCGCCCTGACTCCTAAGCTCGATCAAGCTTTTTCGATGCTAAATAAATCACCACATTACTGTATTTATATTATTATTGATAATTTCATTTATATTATTAGTAGTATTGCATTATCTAGTAAAGAGATTTACGTTACCAGTAGTTAGAAACACTTAATTCTCACCGGCTCCTCTTTAGCCGGGATGTTACCCCTTTAAGTGCTCCAACAAGCATGTTGTGGTCTCGTGAAAAGCAAGTTCCGCCTTGTATGTATTGTAAGACAGCATTGTTGGTTTTAATTTTTGTAAAACTTTCCCAAACCTTGCTAGTTCGGATTTGTTTGCACTCCGTCATAATTCGCGCTATTTTTTTCTTTTTCCACAATAGCATTTGTGGCTGCATTACACTCTAGCGCCAAAGCGCCGTAGCGGTCAAATCGTGATATTGCATGCCCTTACATTAGGTCAAGTGAGATCAAACGACTATTCGACAACAAAGATATTTGCCGACAATTTTTTTATTGTAAAATGTCGACTAATCGTTTCAGCCCTAATCTTAAGCCTGAACAGTGAAACAGATTGAGGTGCTGAGGTCCTTGAGCCCTTTGAGGCAGCAACCGTGTTTCTGAGAGTACAAGTTATATAATACATTACACTCTCTGCACTCCCACAGCTAGAGCACAAACTTAAGAACATACGGAGTCCAGATCTTGAACTTATTAGCGGCTTGTTCTTAAATTAAGGAATTCAATACTTTTAAAGGATCCATGATGTGCACCTTGTTTAAAAGCTTGTTAGCTTAATGTACCACAACAGTCATTAGAGATTAATGAAGAAAACACACCAACCTTGTTCCTCGTGTTTTATTCTCCAGGGTTCTGGTTCACTCATGTCCTCCTCACTCTCCTCTTTAACAAACACCATCTTCACAGCAGCAGATCTCAGTTCAGTTGATACTCCTTCAGATATTCCTGCTTGATTCAAGTCACGTAGGATGGGGAAATTACAGGCTTTTATTGAACTGATTTAAAATGCATCTTTCTATACACTAAAAGTAAATTTCTAACAGTTTGTTTTAGGCCAGTAACGCGACAAAACAGCAGAGATCTTGCCGAAAACTAATCTTCTTCCTCTGAGGTGGTGGTCGGCAAACAAACGCATGTGTCTTACCGCCACCGACTGGACTGGAGTATGAAGCGTCGAGAGGAGAGGAAAAATATGGGGAAGAAATTATTTAGCTCGTATAGAAGGTATATTGCATTTTCCCTTTAAAAAGAGATTTGCACAAAGAAGAGAAAGGGACTTAATATGGATTACAATCGTATGGGATTCGAGTTGCATCAATAGCCTACATGAAAGAGGATTAGAAAAACAAGAGAATTTATTCCAGTTGTCAATTATTTCTTTAAAAAAATCACTGAACGTTCCCTAATTGTTGTTTTCGATTACTTATAAAAGTAGGGCTGTGAATCTTTGGGTAGACAGTGAATCGATTCGATTCACGATTTATAGGTTTTCGATTCGATTCAAGAACGATTTGTGCAAATTCAGAACAATTCAATTCGATGCGATTCACATCCAAATTCGATGCGATTCAATTAATTTGATTAGATTCTTAATTTTTTATATGCATTATAGTATTATTTCAATGCTTCACCCATCTGGGTTTGAATTAGCCTACACAGTGGCCTTCGGGGGTCAGAGTGGGATTTTGTCCATTGTTAATGTTAGTTCATATTTGTTTTTAATTTTAATTAATATATTACTATCAAAAATTCAATGTCCTACAAATTAACATTTTTAGAAACCTACCTAAGTAGCCAATATTTTGAAAAAGGCTTTTAAAGTATTGCATTAAATGACTACACGCGTTTCCAGTGCTCGCGCATCACAGCTACATAATGTGTTACTATATTGCGCTTAATATTCCACTAATAAGACACGTTTACTTCATAGACAGCTTTATGTTTTTGGAAAAAATGGAAACTCACATATTGAGGCGGTGATGAAAAATTTACTACCAAGTCAAATTGCGTTTGTTACCTTTTCCTAGCTTTCAAGTAGTCTCAGCCTCAGACATCACGCCCACGGAATGTTGGCTAAACGTCTGATGCATATGGTACACTTAACTGGAAACACTTCAGGAATGTCGAAGTCGTCATCTGATTGGTTGAATTTTATCGGATTTCCGGGGGGCGTCAGTGTCGCGTTTATTTTCGGTCCGCCGGGAAACAAAGCGCAGACGTGTGATTGCGGAGAAAAACTGTTGTGTTTATATGAGTGACAATGAGCATTTATCAAGATCAGCTAAACGTAGTTGTCCCCTCCTATCTATTATGGAAGATCAAGTGAAGTACTTAATTGCGAAGGGGATATCAGCCGCGTTTGTGGGCAAACATGAAACAACAGACGCTGACATCGCAGCGTTATGCATCCATTAGATGTGCTAAAGGGAATGTAGCCAGTGCGCGGCGCCGGAGGTGAGGCGTTTATTTACTAGGCGTGAGCGCGCTGGGGCGAGGACGTAACTTACATTCGCAGCCTGACTCATGTGAGTATTCAAGATGGACTCAAGATGGACATAAGATGGACATGAGCGCGAGTTCGTGGGTGAATTTAATAACGCGGAGCGTTGTTAACGAGCGCCTCCAGTGATTGCTGACTGACTGACTTGTTGCACGCCGGTCTGTTGTTGTGGGGACATTTCCACGCCCCGAAACGTGACGCTGACCGAAACGAACTGTAATTGGTTGTTTGACATGTCGGTCAAACGGCCTTATGGGCGAGCTTTGGCCAAAGAAAGCTGCTATGAATTCCAGACCTTCAGCCGTCAGTCTGAAGGTCTGGCTACGCGAGACTAGCTTTCAAGGGCCTTAATTTTGGTAGATTCTTTTTACTACCGCGCGGACACCCTGTATTTCCTATTTACATGTTTGGTGGAGGCAATCCAGAATTACTGTTGGTGAAATAATCAGACCCACCACAATCTGCCGGCGATTTGACTTCGCCCTGAAGCTCAGGCTGGAAACTTGTCCATTTTTCTATCCGTTCCGTTACAAGTCTGCGGATCACAAACTGGCTTTTCCACCTGGCCCATGATAGAGAAGCGACAGCAAGCAGCTTTCCTTTTAACCTCTTGATGATGCTTGATGGCTTCTTTAGTTTAGCAAACAAATCGCTCGAGTGGGTGTAAATACCACTCACTTCATGTTTTTTTATTGCACAGCTTGCAAGACTCGCTCTATGCCATTGCTGCTTCTGCAAACCACTGATCAATGCTACAAACCAACACATTTGTTGACACGTTTCCTGCCTGGAGTTTTCGCTTCGCAAAGTACGTCACCCGGATCGTTGGTCTGATTGGTTGAAGGACTATCCAATTGCGTACAGAGTAATTTGAACTTTGCCCGTTGATCACGCCTCTTGTGCAGTAGAAAACACAAAGCAGCCTTTCCCAGACTAATGTTTAATCTTAAAAGATTGAGCTTGGTCTGGTGATAGCCAAACCAGGTAAGAATACCATTAAATCCTCACTGATCCAGTACACACAAGTTTTTTCACACCCTCGTGTATTTTCTGGTGCCTTTTAAAAGAGAAAACCCTTATGGCGCTTATCCATTACCAGTACCAGCTCGACTTGGCTCGGCTCGCTTTTCGTTCCAATTTCCATTGCAGACAGTACCGCCACAAATAGTACCCGGTCGTCATAAGCCACTTTCCGATCGGAGGGACTTTTGCAGTTCCTAGAACCTAACGTTCATATAACCCTTTTTTTCTCGTGTTCCGACCGGACTAAATTGGGGAATTTTTTTAGTTCCTCAGACCGTAGTTCCTATAACTCTTTCAGTACCTAGTGTAGAGCGAGGACTTTTTTAGTTCCCTTTCCCTAGGTCTACGTTGATTGGTTCAACTTATAAGTCATGCCCACTGTCAACACAAAACTTGTAGCGCGCTGTCTGCCATACACTGTGTTTTTGCAAAACATTACAACGAGGATTAAGACAAACATAACGCATTCAACCAGCTGATTGCTAATAATAGCTAAACTTACCCGTCGTTTTGTTTGCCTCCTGCGCTCTGCTCTTATATCTTCTTCCATCATATTACTTAATATCATATTACGTTGGAGCCTTCGTCTTCTGTGCGTCTCTGTACAGAACTCAAGCATAATCTTTAAACGCTGCCGTTCGTTCTCCGTTATTAAAGGGTTAGTTCACCCAAAAATTAAAATTCTGTCAGTATTTACTCACCCTCATGTTTTTCCAACCCCATAAGACCTTCGTTCATCTTCGGAACACAAATTAAGATATTTAAGTTATTAAGATCGCTCCTGCATACAGTCCATAGGCTTCTTGAGGGACTGGCTCTTGCTGTCCTCGAAAAGTCATTAAAGACATCGTTAAAATAGTCCAAGTGACTACAGGGGCTCAATCTTAAGTTTATCAAACGACGAGAACACTTTTGTGCGCAAAAAAACAACAAAAATGACGACTTTATTTCAACTATTCATTTATTTCTCCCTCTGCGCGAGTCAGATTACTAGTTTAATAGCGCAAGCTTCTGTTATTGTACGCATCACACGCATCACACACACATGACCAGCGTCGGCCAATAGTGAGCCTACGTGTGACGTAGCTCTACGCAATCACACTACGTTAACTGACTACAGGCTCATGGAGAAGGAACTGAACAGTTGAAATAAAGTCGTTATTTTTGTTGTTTTTTTGCGCACAAAAGTGTTCTCGTCGTTTGATAAACTTAAGATTGAGCCCCTGTAGTCACTTGGACTATTTTAACGATGTCTTTAATGACTTTTAGGGGACAGCAAGAGGCAGTCCCTCAAGAAGCCTATGGACTGTATGCAGGAGCGATCTTAATATCTTAATATCTTAATTTGTGTTCGGAAGATGAACGAAGGTCTTACGGGGTTGGAACAACATGAGGGTGAGTAAATACTGACAAAATTTTCATTTTTGGGTGAACTAACCCTTCAAGGTCCCGGCAAGGCAGAACAGGAACCAGGAACACGTCTAGGAACGCTACGTCTAGTGATGACGCTATAAAGACCGTCGCCATGCTTGCGTCCTACCAGTTCCTATGGCCACTTGGCCAGTGCGAATGCAAGCAGCAAAACCGAGTTTGGGGGAGAGTAGCTCTTAGAACTGTTTAGAAGTGGACAGTTGATATAACTAAGTTCCTGTAACTACTTGGTCGGAAAGTGGCTATAGCGACGCATTTCGTTCCTCGCCGCCCCGTCAAGCTCTCGCTGGATCCTCTCTTCGGCAACCAAACAAAGGAAAGTCTGCACCTCCTCGTTTGACCACGGCGTATTCTTCCGAGTTGCCATAATAATAGTAGTGAGTTTAGAAAATATCTCTGGCCAAACTATTTAAAAATGGCGGGGTTACTCTGGATACTCCATCTGGTGTGTGCAATGATGGCGCAGTGAATGGTGACGATTCTCTCCGACCAATCAGCAGTCGGCATTGTTTTCACGTCACATTTTAGTATCGCCTTAGCTCGCGCAGAACCTCGCCGGAGGTGGTACTAAAAAAAGTACCCGAAAGCAGGAAGAGGTACAACTTTTACACAGTGGAAAACCAAACAAAGGGGAGCCGAGTCGAGTCGAGCTGGTATAGTGTAGTGAAAAAGCGGCATTCGAAATTTCCTTCCACAAACAGGACAGAGGTCAGTCTTTTTATTAGGTATGCACTTCTGGTGGTTCTTCAGTAATGATGACAATGCAAATAATTTACAGCAGTGATCAGTTAAATTGCCATACAATAGAGTGAGAGCGTGCAGATGACGCCACAGTTCCATTTAAGTCTCTTCTCACATGGATGACATGCATGAGGCATCTCTTATGAGTGAATTCTCACATGAATATTAAATGCTTCTTTACAGGTGAAGCTCTTTCCACACTAAGAACAGGTGAAAGGCTTTATTCCAGCATGAATTAACATGTGTTTCTCTAGTCTTTCTTTACGTTTAAAAGTCTTTCCACACTGAGAACAGGTGAACGGCTTTTCTGAAGTGTGAATTAACAAATGATAATTAAGGTGTGCTTTCTGTTTGAAACTCTTGCCACACTGAGAGCAGGAGAAAGGCTTTATTCCATCATGAATTAGCATGTGCTTCTTCAGGCTTTCTTTACGTATAAAAGTCTTTTCACACTGAGAGCAGGTGAAAGGCTTTATTCCAGCATGAATTCTCATGTGAGTTTTAAGGTGTCCTTTATATCTGAAAGTGTTTCCACACTGAGAGCAGGTGAAGGGCTTTTCTGAAGTGTGAATTAACAAATGATATTTAAGGTGTCCTTTCTGTTTGAAACTCTTTCCACACTGAGAACAGGAGAAAGGCTTTATTTCATTATGAATTAACACGTGCTTCTCCAGGCTTCCTTTACACACGAAAGAGTTTCCACACTGAGAGCAGGTGAAAGGCTTTATTCCAGCATGATTTAACATGTGCTTCTTCAAGTTTCCTTTACGTGTAAAAGTCTTTCCACACTGAGGGCAAGTGAACGGCTTTTCTGAAGAGTGAGTCACCAAATGATCCTTAAGATGTGATTTCAGTGTGAAACTCTTTCCACACTGAGAGCAGGTGAAAGGCTTTATTCCAGCATGAATTAGCATGTGAGTCTTAAAGTATCCTTTACATGTAAAAGTCTTTCCACACTGAGGGCAAGTGAAAGGCTTTATTCCAGCATGAATTAACATGTGCTTTTCAAGGTATCCTTTACATGTGAAAGTCTTTCCACACTGAGAGCATGCGAGAGGATTATTTCCTCCAGCATGAATTAACGTGTGACTCCAAAGGCTTCTTTTATGTTTGAAACTCTTTCCACACTGAGAACAGGAGAAGGGCTTTTTCTCTTCTGTTATTTGGATGCTGCTTTGTGAGCAACTGTTTTCAGTTTTGGAGCAACTCAACGGTTTCTCTCCAGCGGTGACATCATGAACTTTCTGATGATGTTTCTCCTCCACTTCATTCAGATCTGGTCTTTCCTCTTTCACTTTCATCAGGCCTAAAAAGAAAAACATTAAAATGATGAAAATCAATTGGGACAGTTGGAAAATAAAAGTAAATTAGGGTATGTTTACACGACAACGATGGACTAAATATTTAAATGTTTTTCCTTCGCATTTAAAAAAAAAAAAAAAAGTGGACAGATGACAACGTTGTCAAAACAATCCCTGTTCACACAAATCCATAAACTAAAACCGCTGTATTGTTCATCATCTTCATGATTATGGAACAAAATACAGGCAAATGATAAGACTATAATACCTAATAGTGTTACAATAATAAGAACCGCCCTGACTCCTAAGCTCAATCAAGCTTTATTCAATACTAAATAAATCATCAAATTACTCTAATTATATTATTATTGATAATATTATTTCTATTATTAGTAGTATTGCATTATCTAGTAAAGAGATTTACGTTACCAGTTAGAAACACTGACTGAATTCTCACCGGCAACTCTTTTGCCGGGATGTTTTCTCTTTAAGTGCTCCGACATGCATGTTGTGCTCCCGTGAAAAGCAAGTTCCGCCTTGTATTGCACAAGACAACATTGTTGGTTTTCATTTTTGTGAAACTTTCCCAAACCTTGCTAGTTCGGATTTGTTTGCACTCCGTCATAATTCGCGCTATTTTTTTCTTTTTCCACAATTGCATTTGTGGCTGCGTAACACTCTAGCGCCAAAGCGCCGTAGCGGTCAAATTGTGATATTGCATGCCCTTACATTAGGTCAAGTGAGATCAAACGACAAAGATATTTGTCGACAATTTTTTTTTATTGTAAAATTTCGACTAATCGTTTCAGCCCTAATCTTAAGCCTGAACAGTGAAACCTGATTGAGTTGCTGAGGTCCTTGAGCCCTTTGAGGCAGCAACCGTGTTTCTGAGTTATAGTTACACTCTCTGCACTCCCACAGCTAGAGCACAAGAACATACAGAGTCCAGATCTTTAACTTATTAGCGCCTTGTTCTTAAATTAAGGAATTCAAGACTTTTAAAGGATCCATGATGTGCACCTTAAAGCTTTGTTAGCTTAATGTATACCACAACAGTCATTAGAGATGAATGAAGAATCACCTTCTTGTTCCTCGTGTTTTATTCTCCAGGGTTCTGGTTCACTCATGTCCTCTTCACTCTCCTCTTTAACAAACACCATCTTCACAGCAGCAGATCTCAGTTCAGTTGATACTCCTCCAGATATTCCCGCTTGATTCAGAACTTACTCACGTATGAGGATGGGAATATTACAGGCATTTATTGACCTGATTTAAAATGTATCTTTCTGTACACTAAAAGTAAACTTCTAACAGTTTGTATTAGGCCAGCAATGCGACAAAACAGCAGAGATCTTGCCGAAAACTAATCTTCTTCCTCTGAGGTGGTGGTCGGCAAACAAACGCATGTGTCTTACCGCCACCGACTGGACTGGAGTGTGAAGCGTCGAGAGGAGAGGAAAAATATGGGGAAGAAATTATTTAGATAGTATAGACCATTTCACAAGATGTAAACAACACTGGTCCAGAAGCACTTCCTGTTTCAGTTTGTAACTATTTTCTTTATTTCACATGTAAAGAAAACATCTTAAAGATGTTTGTTTAACTTTTTTATTCAGTTTTAAATGTTCTGTTGGTTGTATTTTATCCCAGCTTTTATGTAGTGTTAAAAAACTGAAACAGGAAGTGATCTGGACCAGTGTTGTTTACATCTTGTGAAATGGTCTATAGAGGCTACATTGCATTTTCCCTTTAAAAATAGATTTTCACAAAGAAGAGAAAGGGACTTAAAATGTATTACATAATAGTATGGGATTCGAGTAGTATCAATAGTCTACATGAAAGAGGATTAGAAAAACAAGAGAATTTATTCCAGTTGTCAATTATTTCTGTAAAAATCACAGAACGTTCCCTAATTGTTATTTTTGATTACTTATAAAAGTCATAAACTACATTTTACAGTATGACTGATGAAATGAAGAGGTTCGATAGTAGACTAATTTTAATGGATGTGAAACGCAGCAGGCAGTCGGTCAGAACTGTATAAGATGAGGCTTAGTTGAACAGACACACCAGGCAGGGTTCAAACTTCACTTATTTACTGAAGAGCTGGTTGATTTACATATGGGGTATGTGTGTGTGGTTCTATAACAAATTAAACAAAGAAATAAACATTAACATACATATACATCATTAATAATAAACATTAACAGCATTCAGTCTAACAAACCCATTAAGGAAGTGCTATCAGACAGAATAATAATTCTAAACATCACCACAAGGAGGTGCTAATAGCACATAAATGCGTTTAACTAGACATTCCATATGCTCAGTATACGGCGCTGATTACCTCATGATAATGATCATCTCTAAAGTAACCGTAAAACTAATAATAACATAATGTCTCATACATAACATAAAGTAACATGCAGAATCTCCGAAATATTACTAAAGAGGAAGTAATACAGGCAGATATATGCCAATCAGGGACCGCTCGCGCTAATGAACATCGTCTAACAGTTTCTGCATACTAACGGAAAAACTTGGAAATATAAACTTACTTGGTATGTACGCACACAGCGACTCAATGTATATGTAAACCAGCTGAATAATCGTCGAACACTACAGATTAACTAAACTGAAACTGTCAAGTATCTTAACTAATAATTATGATGCGTCTTCTCTCTCCGACTGAATCCACCTCAGCACCAATTCACCTCAGCACGAATGTCACTATGGCAACCTTGTACTCTATGATTGGTTGAAATCGTCCAGGACATTTAAAGGTATCCGGGCCTTTTGTACAACTGACGTTAAAGCATTTAAATATAAGCTGTGTCTGAAACCGCTCACTCGTTCACTCATTCACTAATCCCTATATAGTGTATGGCATTTGAGTGCACTATATCTGCAAGGAGTGAAGGAGATGAAGTGAGTGAATTCAGACGCTGACGTTTACACTGTGCGTCGGAGAGTTGGAGCTGTCGCAGAAAAGGCTTCGTCACGCATACTGATAAAACTCCTTTTATCTTACATTACCTACTTTATAAAATAATATTAACAACAATAACAATCATAATGACTTTATTTTGTAATTATACCTCCGTGCCAGCTTTGTAGTTTCATCGACTGAAATTGTACATTAACTCTCACGTTCACAGATGACGTGTCGTCGAGCGCCCTCCGGCGACCGTTATTATGTTCAAAACGACGATTAACGGACATTTTTCAAATCCTCCACTGGATGTAATCTCTGGTTTAAACTTGCTCGCGCCGAACTTTCATGCGCGCTCAGTTCTCTCCGCATTGGATTGTGGGAAATAGGGCTTCAGCGAGTGTACGGCCCTGTCCCAATACTCCCTTGAGCCCTAAGGCCTTCCTCGAAGTGGACACTTGTTGAAAGTGCACTTTAGCGGAGAAAGTGTGCAAGGGCCCGAAGCTGTGAAGAGCAGAATTGGGACAGTTTTGCACACGTCAAAAAGCTACGTCAATTCTGTTGTGATCAGCAAACACTGTTCATTTGGCTAATGTGTGTTATGCTTATAATAGCTGTAACATGACACAATCCTTTGAATTAAAAAATTAATATCTTTTTTTTTTTTTTACTCTTAGCCAGCAACCTTTCTGTTAATGTTATTAATATTAAAACATTTTTTTGGCTAAGATAATATGTGATTGAGGTTTACCTGAGTTTATACTGCCTTACCATATTCACAGAGATTCGAAATGCAATGTTAATTGTTATTATGGAAATTGATGAAATTCCCATACATGAAAAAACAAAACAAAAAAAAAAACATGACGTGTTGGTGATATATTTTGTATAGGCTATATATTAAAATAGTCTAACATATAGGCTGTATAAAATAAAATGACACAACCCTGTCTCTTTTATATTTTATTGACCAAGAATAACCATTATTAAAGTATAAGTAGCTTAAAAAGTATAAGGAGCTATATAAGTCAAGAAATAAGGCAAGTTAAAAGATTCAGTCAAACATACGTTTCAACGTTACAGATAAATAGCCTAAATATATAAAGTTATGAAACTTCGCTTTTCCCCTCAGCCAAAACGATTTGCCAGGGAACAAATCATAGATTAATGAGACCAAAGATCGCCCGTCTGATATACACAAGCCGATTTATAACTCATGTTTAACCACTAGAAACAGAGCCCGCGGGAAACGCGAATGACTAGCCGGGGCAAGGCTGTTGCAGGCGGGGTACATGAGCGCTGAGCACCCGCCGCCCTGTGATCACCTGGAACTCCGAAAACGTCAGATCAATTTTTTAAAATAGGCGCTATTTTTATAAATAAACCACAGATTTCAGCTTTAAACAACTATATTCTCGACTGAAAAACTCTTAAAACTACATTTAGTGACCCAATAACACAAATATTTTTGAAAAACTCTTCACCACAATGGCTTCCTTTATCTTCGGAGTTTCCGCTCCCGAACAGCACCATAGCAACCGTTCTCCCCTACAAGGATTCTGGGTAATATCCCACAGCAAAGTGTGGTCTGATGCACACTTACGAAAAGGGTGCATTAAGTGCCCTTTTGATCACCCCTGGAGAACACTATTAGAGGATTGGGACACCCTACGGTCTTGCACCCCTTATCGAGAACGCGCATTGAGGGGCACAAGGGCGCAAGTGCGGATATTGGGACAGGGCCTACATCGAATGTACACTCGAATTCAGAGAGGATTGTGGGTAAAAGTAGTGAATGAATGTAGGGAATGATGTCGTTCACTCAGAATTCGGACACCACTACAAAATGGCCGACACCCGATATAGTGCACTATTTAGTGGATAGGGAGCGATTTCAGACACAGCTATAGTAAAACCTACTCAAATGTTAAATCAGGGTTTAGCCTGAAAAAAATAATGTTATATCATTGGGTTATTATGCGTCTACAGTCTACAAACCTGGGAGTTGAACAGGGGACTATTGAATGACAGGTAATGTGAATTCCATATCGATTCAATATGATATTTTTGATGGTGTTTCTAAAAAACTGATTTTGAGTTTAAAACTTGTCATTGAGCTGGATGTTGCATTTTGCTGCATTATGCCTTTGTGTCTCTAGTGCTTTGCAAAGGACTAACATCTGATTCTGCGTTTTGGTGAAGACAATTTTGAGGATATTATTATATTTTATTTATTTTATTTAAATACAAAATGATGATCAACTCAAAGTCTAACAGGTGATCGTAAATGAGTGGACTTCCATGGTGGAAACCCAGCAGAGCGGACGAGACTAAAGATCCCCACGGTGGAACGGTGGCAGTAGTTAGCGGTGGCAGTAGTTAGCAGTCAGACAGCCAATGCTGGAACCCAGAGAACTGGAGACCCAGACCCAGCTGAGAAGATGTAGAGACCAGACGGCACCACAGGTACAGGACTAACAGGAGGCGATGCGGAGCTGGAGGGGTGGAGGGATGAAGCTGGAAATCTTTTCTATTATCCTAAAGATCTTGCCTGATTATAACCCTTCTTTTCCCACTGATATTCTTCTGACCTTTTCTCTTTTATAATGTCTCTCGGTCTCGTCTCTTTCTACACTCTTGTCTCTTTCTACAGTCTTTCTTGATTGGCCACAAGTGTGTTGTGCTCGTCGGTCTGATCCACTTTCAACAGCGTTTCTCAGAAATCAGATAAGCCTGGTTCACACGGCAGGATAATTAGTCCGATTTTAGCCCGATTTACCCCTTCCGACAATCTTCAGGATGCTCCGATTATCGTAAAATAATCTGATCAGATATTCCTGCCGTGTGTGGTGTGTTAAGACAAGATCGGGGATATCCAACATGTTGGATTTTTTTGGCCCAATTTCTCCTCATGTGTGGTGTCCCTCGGGGACAAACTATAGACTGTAAAAAATATGGACAAAGCGTCTGTGACGTTACCCATAGACTCTCTGAAGAACGGGGTTGAGGCTGTTTATGGGGGGTATGGGCGGCGCCATACTGGAAAATCTTGGGAAATACAAAATACAAATGTTCAGAAAGGATACAGAGGTGGTATGATGTGATGTGTCAGATCATGGCCGAGACGTCAAATTCCACTCGGCGCAGCCCGTTATCAGCTGTCAATCAAAGTTAACCGCCCTTATTTGTCTTACATTTTATATCCCACTCACAGTTGTCAGGCACTCGGAACCTATCGAAAAATACAATAAAAGTCCATGGGACCAACCTGTAAACATATGAATTTATGCTGTGGAAATGGACATTTTAACATGAGGTCTAAATGGATATTTGCTCCCTTTTGGGACCTGAACCATAGTGGATTTTAGATGTATTGCAGTTTTTCGCACTTCCGGTTAGGCTTCATTCGTTGCCGCTTGGGACAAACGAGCACGCAGCCTGTGGGTGGACTGTGGCGTGCACTGTAAAAAATAAACCGTAAATTTTTACGGTAAAAAAACAGCAGCTGTGGTTGCCAGAACTTTACCGTTAAAAATACGGTAGGAACGTTAATGGTTTTACAGACTTAACTTAAAATTTACAGTAATAAACCGTATTTTATTTTCTGATCAAATGTGGATTTACCAACTTATTGATGTATTGATATCTGTTTTAGACCATTGTAATACACTGACAACAACTGAGTTACATGAGCAATCACAGCTTATCACAAGTAAATACTTGTATAAAGCAATACTTATTTAAAGAAGCTGCATCATTCACACAAATATTAAGCACCATCATGGGACCACACATGAAATAAAAAAAAAAATGCAATAAACATTAATTTAACAACATTAAATGTAACATATAACCCTAATGTACATAACTGATTAGAAATAAAACTATAAAACTATGAGGAATCATAGTTATTTCAACAAAAATACATACAAATGGAAGTGAATTGTGGGAATGTCAATTTACGGTTTTTCACTGTAAATAATACAATGATTTGTTCTTTTTCACTTTCAAAAACTGTAAATTTAACAGTATTTTACTGTAAAATTATATCACAGTTATTTACCGTGTATAGTACGGAAAATTTCTGTTTACCAATTAACAGTTTTGCACTGTAGCATTTTTACAGTATTTTACCGTTAAAATCACGGTTATTTTTTACAGTGTGTAGCCAATCAGAAAGAGAGGTGACGAGGCGCAGAGGAAGCACCGGGAAACGAAGATTTCTGGTAACACTTTAGAATACGGTTCCTTCGTTAATGAATAACCACACAAGAACCGATGAGTAACACAATCTTGACAGTCTAATAACTATTATCAACTAACAAGAAACTCTGATTAACGAAGTTCGCATGATGAAAGTGGTAGTTCACTATTAACTAATCAATAACTACTATTTTTTAATGCTTCCCAGAGAACTACTGAAAAAGTTTATTAACAATCTAGTAACTACTATTAACTAACAAGAAACACTAATTGATTAATTGGTAAGTAATGCTAATGAAAGTGGTACTTCATACTTTAATGGGAATTACTAATTATTTGGATCCGTATTCTAAAGTGAAGATCAGGAACTAACTATTGACTCAAGTGTTACTACATGATCTAGTCATGATTTGTGCAACCAAACACAAGTCATTTCAAGCGTTTGGTGAACTTTTAGTATACTTTTAGAACATTTCTTTAGAAGTATGTAGTAACACTTGAGTCATTACTAGTTAGTTCCCATCTGGATTGTAGTGGATTGAATTGTATGAGCACCTTCTACTCCAATTTATGACATCCCAGAAACATTAAAAAATGCTACTACTTCACTTTACATTAATATGAAATATATTTTTACTGAAAGTTTTATAAAACATAATTAAAATAACTAATTTACTTTTCCGACAAATGTTACAAGTCCAAAAAAAGTACATTTATGTCAGGAATATTGTAAACTACAGCAAGTAAAAAAAGGTTGGCTGCCAAAAATATAAATATTGGGAGTTGTCATTACAGGTATTGTTTAAAGACACTTCAAGAAAACATTTATCTGTTATTAGTTTAAAAATATTAAAATAGCAACATAAACCTATTTAATGGCTACTTTGATGTTTAGCATTACAATTCCAGGAGTCTTTACAGTGGACCTTAAATTTACTTTTAATATGTTCTCATGAACCGCTAGAATCTGAGTTTTCACATACATCCGTACGGAAGTCGACACCCTTGTTGTCAGAGGCCTGAAAAGAACAGGAATAGACCGAGATGAGCTCATAGTTGTGGTTTGGTTTGATTTATTTTTTTTTTCAGTCTTGTGGAATTTTGTAACTTCTGCTTCTTAACTTATAAAGTTATATGCTAAATGCAAATATTATTATTACAATAAAGATCCCATTTTCCCTTTTCCTTTTTCATTAAACACTCAAAAATATTAAATGTCATATTGGAAAACTGATGCTTTAGTTTGGTACTGAATGAATCCTGACAACATTTCAGTAGGAAACTTGCCTGATATTTTTTGAGAACTCGTTACAAGATTATCAACTTTGTCAAAAGGTTTTTTCTAACACATGAGATGCATTTGTGTGTCTTTAATCAGTCATGTTGTTTCTTAAGATCTGACTGTGTGAATCAGGAAGTCTTCGAGGCTTTAAGTCTGTGTCTTCAACCGTCTGTCATTATTGGGTCAGTATGGAGCTCAGTCAACTTCCTCTTGTGCTCTGTGAGTATTATTTCCTCGGTGTGTTTCAGTGGAATTGTAAATATATTATGATGAATAGGATCAAATTATTTGGTGTTCCTGGATTTTTCTATTCTTTTCATGCTGCTCTCAGAGTTTCAAATCCAGTTCTAGTCCATGATCTAAAGACGAGCTTAAAAGATTAAGTGTTGAATCAGTAATTCAAAATTTAAATCAGTTAAGTAAGTTCAAATGTTTGCATGGTTATAGTTTTGTTGACTTAAATGGATATATATATATATATATATATATATATATATATATATATATATAGTCTTAGTCTTCTGCTTCTGTTAACTTACAAAAATCATATTATCATTGTTAATATTTTCTGGACACATATTTTCCTTCGCTAACTATTTTATCCTGAATTATTCTTCATAATTTTCTCTGACTTCATAATTACTTCTGATTTTTTTTTTATTTTTTATTTTTTTTTTTTTTACAAACTTACATACGTAATCGAGACGTTTTTTTCTCATTGTGTTTTTAGTGCTAATTTGCAAACTCAACTCTGGCCAAACTGAAGGTAATTATATATCAGTTGTGTATTTCATCACATAAGTGATTTTATAATAACTGTTACATATACTGTACCTGTCAAAAGTTATGTATAATTATAACTTTTAATAAAATATATATTTTTTTCAAGTCTCTCATGCATTTATTTCATAAAGAAATCAGCAAAACAGCAATATTGTAAAATATTACTACAATTTAAAAACTGCTTTCGATATGAATATTCTGTAAAATGGAAGTTACGCAGTGATCAAAGCTAAAGTTGCAGCATTATTACTCAATTCTTCAGAGTCACATGATTTTTCAGAAATGAGTCTGATATAGTATGATGCTCAAGAAAAATGTCTGATTATTATATCAATGTTGAAAGTTACTGCTGCTTAATATTTTTGTGGAAACAAAATCTGTGTTAAAATAAACAAATTCTTAATTTAAAGAAAAGAAAAGAAAAAGAAAATAATTACATTGTTTGAATGGAAACAAAACCATTCAAACATTTGTGGTAATATTAAAAAAGAGAGAAATGAATAGGTTAATGTTTTCAACATTGATAATAATAATCAGAAATGTTTTTTGACCATCAAATCCAGGATGATTTCCTGAAGGATCATGTGACACTGAAGACTGGAGTAATGATGCTGAAAATTCAGCGTTGATCACACACTCTTAGAAAAAGGGGTTCTATATATGTAACTCCAAAGAACATTTAATGCTAAAAAAGGTTCTATAATGAGAAAAAGAACCCTTTTGGCACAAAAGTTCTTTAAAGGCTATTATTCGTTCATATATTATTCTGCAACATTTTGTAGTATGTAATTAAATTATTGTTTATTAAACTGTTGTAGTAACTTAATATCACATTTTAAGCATGGTGATTTTGGAGGATAAAAACTGAAATGGCCCTCTTCGTCTGATATTGATTATACATTTTTTAACCCACATATCTTGAATTTTGTGATCGTTAACATGCATTGCATTTTAGGGGTTCCAAATACGTAGCGCTTTAGAACCTTTTAAGGTTCTATATAGAACCTTTCCTTCTAAGAGGAATAAATTACTTTTTTTTTTAAATAAAATAAAATCAAGTAGAAAATAGTTATTTTACCTTGTAGTAATATTTCATAATATAGTGTTTTACTGTTTTTTCTTTTTTTTATCAAGTAAATGCAGCCTTGGTGAGCAGAGTAGACTTTTGTAAATTTTAATGTTTCCAAACTTTTGACAGGAACTGTAAAAAAGTATTTAATTTTTTTTATTTTATATTTATGGATTTGTTTACATTCAAATCCTTCAAATTGTTTAAAGTACTCCACAATTTTTTACATATGTTTTTGCATCTTGATTTTTTCAATTATTATTTGCTTAGCACAAACGGGTCACATGATTTCCAAACCAAGCATCACAAAGAGTATTTTTTTATGTTTGTAACCATCAATTGACACGCTAACGAAGTATTGAACTCTGCATTGCACTGAGTGAATGTTGACCTCACTGTAATCCTGTAATCACTGCTAGCAGTTATTTCTTTTTTGTCTGTTAAATCAAGATTGATTTACTAGCAAGAGGACAAGATCTGCTGAAAAACTCATGATTTTACTAATTTTATATTTACTTTTTTACCAATATTATATTAATAGATTTCCCCAAACCGACTCTGACTGTTGAGCCACAGAGTTTAGTGTTCACTGGAGACAGAGTTACTCTGAGATGTTCGCTGGATCAGACACTGGGTGGATGGGAGTTTTTCTGGAGTAAAGACTCGAACACTGAATCTACTGATGCTGCAAATAAAGTAATCGATCGTGTGCAAATCTCTGATGGAGGACAGTACAGATGCAGAGCACGAAGAGATGGACGTTACACAGATTACAGTGAACCAGTAACAGTGACAATACATGGGGAGTATTTACTCTGAGATATTACTAACAATAATTTCATAAGACACTTAATATGTGACTATAACAGCTATAGAGAACAACACTTCAGTCTAACCTGATTTAACAGGTGTGTTTGATGGTCATTGTGATTTTGCTGAGTTAACCCTATAACCATAACTTATCTCCAATACCAGAGAGAAATGATAGGTGAATAACACTGATGTAGAAACACTAAACTCTGTAAACTGAGCATATAATAAACTGTAAACTTGTCCCTCAAATCTGATTGGTTGATTTGAATGTTGTTCAGGATCAATAAAGATGTTTATCCAGGAACATGTTATACTTGATGAAAACACATTCACTCCTCTGTTGGTCGCTTAAGTAACCATTCCTAGAGGGAAATTAACACCACATTTGATTATTTTATTTAAATTAATCATCACATTATTTTCATTGTTTATTGTTGTTGTGCAGAAATACCAAAATCCAGAGTGACCATTAAACCTGATCAACATGTGTTCAGAGGAGAGACGGTCACTCTCAGATGTGACATTGATGCTGTAGGAGTCTCTAGCTGGAAGTACAACTGGTATAAAGAAGGTTCATCAATAGATTCCAGTAAACTACAGAAACACACTATCGATTTTGTCACTGAGTCTGACGCAGGGAAATACTCCTGTAATGGATGGGAGACTGACGGATCAGGCATTTCACAACTGAGTGATGAAGTCACACTGACAGTATCGGGTGAGTTTGATCATCTCTTCATAAACACACACACACACACACACACACACGCACACACACACACACACACACACACACACACACACACACACACACACACACACACACACACACACAAGTTTAACATGTTATTAATGAGTGATGTCTGTATCTCAGATAAAGCCCGGGCAGTGTTAAGTGTTTCTCCTCAGACGTGGTTGACTGAAGGAGATCCAGTGACTCTGAACTGTGAGGTTAACGGCTCTTCTACAGGCTGGACATTCAGCTGGTTCACTGTAACTCCCTCATCAGGTATTATAATGTCCTCTATGTGATAACATATACATTTACTGGTTTTATCAAAAACATTATTAAAGGTCATTTCCTTTAGTGATCATCTGCATATTCTCATTTAACTCAGACAGGATTGTTCACTATGATCCGCTCTCAGACAGCAGAAGAGGAGCTGGAGGAAAATACACTGTCAGTTCTGTTGCTGTAAATCACACAGGAGTTTATGTGTGCAAAGCAGAGAGAGGAAAACCAGTCTATATAATACAAAGCAGCACACAACCACTGTGGGTCACTGGTGAGTTCACACTATAGTTGAAATAATATCTTCATCTCTAATAACAACGTGATCTCATGAGAATACGTATGTATTTGTACGTAAAGTGTCGTTCTATCATACATACATATAATTACGTTTTATATTCAAATAAACGTATAATACTGACGTATTTACAATTTATTTACTGACGTATTTAAAACGTAAAATATTTATACGTATTTATAGCACAAAAACGTAAATTATTTACGTATGAACAAAGCCACCGACGTACATGTTTGTACGTATCACAATTTATGCATATTAATATCGTAGCATAATGTTTTGACTCTATTGCATTTCACTGTCTTATTAATGAAGTTTTCGGTCGCATTTATTGATATAATACTCATAAATATTAACATTTTGCTCGTTTCGCCTGCATGGTGTTAAACAATACACTATAAAACCTTAAAAATACATTCTTTAACGTTACTCGTTTAACCATTTTGTAATATAGTTTATTTACCTTGAGATAAAGCGTTTTCTCCTAGTATAAAACACAACAAAAATTCACAAAAGACATCAATTTTATTAGTTTGATGTAATCCAAATCTTTAGAATCCATAGTTGTTTGCAAGAAACAACTCCTAATTCACCTTTGGCTAAGCCACGCCCTAGAATGTAGATTGACCAATCACAGCCCAGCCAAGAACGAGCTCCCACAGAGGTCCGACAGTTTTTCACAGCGCTCCCTTGACTTTCAACACAGGCGTCTCATATTTTTGGTCTCGGCAGGCTTTTACCGTCGTAGTTTTCTCAAAAATATGGTTAAACGTTGTGCCTCGGACATTTGTAACACAGATACGCGTTTCCCAGAGAGGTTGGTGTCCGTTTTTTCCCTTCCCAAAACCGAAGACAAATCCTTGACAAGTGTCGTCTTTGTATTAAACTGTGTGGACGTCCTCAGTCAGCTAAACCCCTCAAAGATCAACAAGCACATCTTTTTTTACTTCTAACCTTACTGTGAGTGTGAAGTTATACTAGTCAGACCGTTTTATAATGTTTTAGGTTATGATTTCGGTTCTCATACCGGTTGTTGATACGCTAGCACACGCTGCTAATAAATACAACATTATATACTCGTGTAGTCCGTTTGCTTTGTAATAACGATTATAGAAGTGAATAGAGACCTACCCAGCTTTGCATGAACAGTGTTGCTCCCTGATATTGTTAGTCCCAGCCTCCGTCTCCATTAGTAGGATCTGCGGTGGTTCATTTTTTTTTTACTGTGAGCAGTTATGTTATGATTTTGCCTCTATTTTGGATGCCTTGTTTGTTTCTTGCGTTTCACCTGTATGTCTTGAATATAGCCTTCAAACGCATATTGCAGCCCCTTTTGCCTACTTCTGTCGGACACTTTATTTGCTGCTTTATAAAAGTTTGATAACATTTCAGCAGGAAGAGCTGTCACAGCATAAGCCATGCAGAGCACAGATGAAGTTTGACGGATGTAGCAACAGTAACTAAGGGGGGCGGGGCTTAGCCAAAGGTGAATTCAGCCTCTTATCCAGTCGTGATCGTCTCCATTCTCAGCAGCAACCGTACATGTCAAATCCTGCACTGGTGATGAATTCAAATTCAAAAATTGCACCCTTGAGGCGTTACGTCGTGTTTTACGGCACGTTCATTGGCTCTTCCCTGATTAACATTTTAATTGATTATTAATTTAATTTCTGCTCTGTACTTCATACAAAACTATTACAATACTGCCAGAGAAGACTGCGACTGCAATGCTTCATCATGTGAACGGCTTTTGGTATCGGTTTTGACATTTTCGCAATAAATAAATTATTGTGATTATACTTGTCTGTTAGTTAAGTTTTTCTTCATAATTGTAGTTTGTTACGTTGTTTTAAGGAATTGTTAGGGGTAGGTTTGGGGGTAGGAGTAGGATTGGTGGCTCAAAATATATTCTAATGCTAAAATATTAATAAAACTGCCATTTCCCAACACATCTGTCCATTATGTTTTATCATGTTTTATATTATATATAAATGTATGTTTAGGGTATGTTTAGGTTTGGGATTAGGGTTATGGGATCTTACATTTATCTATAAAATGGTAAAAAGGGAAATTATACAGATATCTTTATGATATAGAATATACGTAAATAGTTAACCTTTTGTAGCTGTAAAAACGTAATAATGTTACGTTTAAATGTTGCAGATACGTCTATATTATACGTTTCAGCATCTATCCAAACGTACTAAAAAGTATGTTTTCTATCTTTGCAAAAACGTAAAATACCTATGTATTAACAATGAGACCAGGCTGCTAATGAAGACAATTTCCTAATTGTCTCTGTAATGATATCTTGTCAGGTGTTTCTCCTCCAGTGTCTCTGATCATCAGTCCCAGCAGAACTCAACACTTCACATCCGACTCTCTCTCTCTGAGCTGTGAGGACCAGAGTAACTCTGATGGATGGACAGTGACAAGATACACAAAGAGTTGGTGGCTGGAAGATTGTTCATTATCAGGGTGGGGATCACAAACAGGATCTACATGTACAATCAGATCCACCAGGACATCAGACACTGCAGTTTACTGGTGTCAGTCTAAATCTGGAGAGAAATATCATCCTGTTAATATCACTGTACACTGTGAGTCTGTGTTTCTGGATTTATTTATTTCACTGACAGTTTATAATCAATGCATAAAGCAGGATGATTTAACAATATACTAATGTAAGCAACCAGCCAGATCATTATAACAATACACTAAATACACTCAGAAACCAGTGGAAAACTGAAAAGTTGTCTTGTTTTTATTTTATTACCATTTTGTTGATGTATTGCATGTTTCCTCTATTTCTGAAGCTGGTGTGATTCTGGAGAGTCCTGTTCATCCTGTGACTGAAGGAGATAATCTGACTCTACGCTGTTTATATAATCATACATCCCCATCAATCCTCAGATCTGATTTCTATAAAGATGAATCACTCGTCCAGAGTCAAACTATAGAGATGATCATCCCGACTGTCTCAAAGTCACATGAGGGTTTCTACTACTGCAAACACCCGAGAGGAGAGTCGCTCAAGAGCTGGATCTCAGTCAGAGGTGAGAGGTCATGAAACTGTGAGCTGATTTATTTCTTCATATGCCGTCGTTCAGATATAGTTCATGATAAAGTGCTCGTGTGTCTCTTTTTCAGGGTCTCGTTCAGAATCTCAGATCTCTGTCCCCAAAATACTCACTTCTGTTCTGGCAGCTTGTCCATATCTGCTGGCGACAGTCGTGCTGATTTACAAATGCTGCAGAATGAGAGAGAAAACACCCCAGTGATTTATTACAAGTCATTGCTATCATTAAACGTAATTGGTTCGATTAATATACTTAACCCCTTAACTGTCACCGTCCCGGTACCAGGACACCTAACTTTACTTCACTATATTTCTATTAAATCTTAATCTAATTATGACAAATTATATATTGTTGGAAAGGTCTAAGACTTCTAAATAAATATTCTACCCCTGTTTTGTGTTACAAATTATGTAGGAAGAGTAATTGATGAATTTATGACAAGAGTGCACCTCAAAAAATCTGCTTCACAACAGGAGATCTGACCTTTGTCACACCCACTTTTGACCTTTGTCACATGCACCCACTTTTAATCATTGAAACTTCTGTTTTTATGCTAAAAGTTCATAACAAAACATAATCTAGTATTTTTCAATAAAAATACAAATATATAATGTAATATTATCCTCTAAAAATTATAATATATTATCCTCTAAAATATAATATAATTTTATTATCGCCTTTTTTATTATATCACATATTTTAGTAGTTATCATAAATTAGGTATCATTTGAAAGCTTATAAACTCAGAATTCATCCTGTGAACACCGTTTTATAGTTGAACATTGCGTTACCATAGAAACCATACTTATTTTATCAGGCTCCTCCCCTTTTGGGCATCATTATATTTCATAATTTATTATCAAAACCTTTTCTAATCTTGACAAAACACATATTGTCAGAAAGGTCTGAGTCTCAAAGTTCCAAATTTTGTGACAAAATTGATATTTGGACAGAAATTTATTAATTTGTTAAGGCAGAATATATACAACTAAATTCAATGGAATTCAATGGCACCCGGTGGCTATTTTTGGTACTACGTCTAAACAAAATCTCATGGGAACTTCAATTTTTGTGATATCAACTTCAAATTTGGAACATAACTTGGTTAGATTTATGGCTTTGATTTTATAGTAATTTTAGAGTAAAAATATTTTGTAAAATATATATTTTAAATAAAATAAAAAAATATATAATACAGTATATTTGATTTACTGTCAATTTAAACTTCCATAACTTTTTCATACTGTCATTTTTTAAAGTGTTGAAGAAAGAAGAAAGGGTACATTTTAATTTAATGTTGGCTTAAACAAGGTTTGTTTTTTTTCTGTTTTTGACCAATGAACTATTATTGTTAATGTGGATCAGACCTTCATTAAGCTTTAGCATCGCTAGTACATCCCCGTCCTCTCAGATTCATTCCCACAATCCCATTGGCCAAATAATTAAAATGATTAAAATTTAATTAAAATGCCTCTCTCAAGTCTGTCATGTTGTTCTGCTTTATGTAACGCTGTGCAATTCTTTACCACTTAAGGCTTGTGTGATATTTTCCTGATTCTCATTATAACCGCATGAACACACTGTCATTTGTATATGTATATGTGCGCATATTCCTTATTTTAGTCTCCTGACTTGTATTACTGCAGTATTGCATAATTTTATTTGTTTTCTTTTCTTAATAAAGAAACAAATTCTTTTTGAAATATTCTGGATCTGATGCTTTGTCTCACAGTGTCTCAAATAAAAACAGAAGAATCGTGAATCAAGTTTTAATCTCTCAATATTGGACTTTTCCACATAAAACTCCTTCAATCTACAGAAATGATTACATTTATGGAGAGAATAATAATATAATTTTAAACAATTCTTGAACATGCTATTTTTTTGTGGAGATGAATTGACACATAATTATTTGTACACATCCTGTGGTTCTGGAAGAAATCTAAAAATCAGCTAAAAATCACAAATAAAAGCTAAAAATCCAGTGAGTTACAGATGCAGAAAAAAGTTTTACAACCACACACACATCTCCCCCTACCTCAATAATGAGACAACCCAAATTACTCTGTTTGTGCCAAGCAAGAAAAAGGATCTGAATGTTATTGAACAAGGTATTATAATTCCTTATATTTTAGGATTTAGGTTTTTATCTTGATAGTAGCCATAAAGGCATAGTTCACCCTAAAATGAAAATTATGTCATCATTTACTCACCCTCATGTTGTTCCAAACTCACAAGACCTTCATTCATCTTGGGGATACAAATTAATATGTGTTTACTAAATTATGAGTGATTTCTGTCCCTCCATTGACAGCTATGCAACTCCTTCCCATCTAAGGTCAACACATTCCCATCCCAAGACGTCATCTAACCGACGCTTTTGACCATACGTCAACATCCGACGCTTTAGGGCACCCTTTAACGTCAGTTATCTGACGCGGGTACACTGAAAAAAATGATTTTTTTGGTAAGGTAAATACTACTGAAAAAAAAAAAACCCCAATGTAATTTACAAGAAAAATTTAGTTCAGGAAAGAATTAAAAAAAAAAAAAACTAAGTAAATTCCATATCAGTACTTCGTTCAAGCGAGTAGAAATGAAAGCATAAATATGAACTCAATAAAATAAAGTTCTGATACTGGGGTTCCCATCATGCACTGGACCTTGAATAATTAATGAGGCTCATTTTTCACTGGTTTCCAGCTGTATTTACACTGTTTTATCATTGCTTTTGTTGTCAGGATTAGTAACTTGCCATTTTGTGACATTTTGAGGAAATTTTCTGCTCAAAATGACACATTCAAACACAAAAACGATCCATCAAATGTTACGGTCATTGTCTACCAAGTATTGAGATCTTTGCATTCACATCATGTTTAACGTCTGACATGATGAAGTATAAATTACTTAGATAGGCCAAGTAAAACACATACTATAAATGACTGGTTTAATTCGATAACATTGTTTGAGTGAAATGTAATGCAAAGGAAATTACATCTAAATCGATATTAATCAACCTTTTACTAGCCAAGTTACTTATATTCTTTGTTACTTTCACTTAACTAGTAAAGTTTACTTAATTCCATATTCCAAGTACATTTTAACTTAAGATTTCTAATTAAAGCTACTGATAAATATGTTTAGGTTTTTACTTGGCAAATCTTTGTAAATTTACTAGCATTTTCTGAGTGGAAAAAGTTGCCTAGCTTTTTTCAAGTAAATCCTACTCCACATTTTTTTCAGTGTAGGTTTAGGTCTGGGGTAGGGATAGGGTTAGATAGCGTCATCTAACTGACGTTCAAGGGTGTCCTAAAGCGTCGGATGTTGACGTATACGGTCAAAAGCGTCGGTTAGATGACGTCTTGAAAAGGTTCATAAAGAGATCATAAAACTAATCCATAAGTTGTGTATAAACAATGACAACTGTTTTTACACAAAAATGAAGATATTTTTGATTAAATCTGAGAGTCTTCTGTTCCTCCATTGACAGCCCATATAGTACAGAGTACCAGTAGAGCGTGGCCTATATAGTACAGCAGCCTACATCCCAAGTGTCATAATGTGGTTTTGTGTCTTGTCTTTTTGTTATCAGTGGTTCCCTGTCTATTGATTGTTGCAGGTGTTTCTTATTTCTCACGCCCCCTTGTTACCTTTCCTAGCTCGTTTGTGCCTGATTATTTAAGCCCTGTGTTTCAGCCTTGTCTTTGTGAGTTCTTGTTTAATGTCGTCTGGTTGATGTTGGTTGTTCCCGAGTCGAATCTGTTTAAGTTTGGAGTCTGTTAAATAAAGCGTGTGCTGCACTTGGATCCAGTTGCCTCAACCGCACCACCACCGTTACACCAAGGTGCGAGTTTGGTCTTTTATATCACTGTATTAGTCCATTTAGTCCACCATGGGCAGTAAGATAAGAATTGCATTTCTTTATTTCAAAACATTTTGACACAATTGTTATTTTAATCGTTCATCCCTTAAGAGGAACAGGCATAAAAACGATTTGCTCATGGTTTGGTTTGATCTTTTTCAGCTCTGTGGAGTTTAGTGACTTCCGCTTCTTAACTTAAAGTTATAAATGCAAATATTACAATAAAGATCCGTATTGTTTCTTTTTCATTTTACAATGAACACAAAAATATTCATTCTCACACTGGAAAACGGATGCTCTTTGGTTTGGCACTGAATGAATCCTGACAACATTTCAGAAATTTGCCGGATATTTTTGAAAACTTGTTACAAGATTATCAACTTTATTAAACGTTTTTTTTTTTGTAACACATGAGGTGTATTTGTGTCTTTAATCAGTCATGTTGTTCCTAAAGATCTGACTGTTTGTATCAGGAAGTCTTGAGGCTTTAACTGTGTCTTTAACCGTCTGTCATTATTGGTCAGTATGGAGCTCAGTCAACTTCGTCTTGTGCTCTGTGAGTATTATTTCCTCTGTATGTTACAGAAGATGGTCATTGCTGTTATATTATGAATGGGTTTGAACTAGGGGTGTAACGATTCACTCGTTTTCTCGATGCATCTATTATAAATCCTGACGATGCATATGCATCGATCCTGATGTATTTTGAATCTTGAATCGTTTATTTACGTGAATAATCCATTTAAAAGGCTAAGAATCGAATTAATCGCGATTTTATAGCGATTCAGTGGTTTAAAATATATAAACACAACCTTAAAGTGTCCCTGGTACAAGCTGCCTCACGCATTGGCCGTCATAAGACATCCGCATTGGTTTCACGCGCTCACTCACACACCCCTGATTTCTCACGCTGAAGCCCGGTCGGTCAAATGCCTGAAAGATGAGTTTATCTTTCTACCTGTTGAGCTACTCGTGTCGTGATCAGCTTGTATTACCGCAAATTAGTTTAATCTCCCGGAATCTAGAGCGAGAGTGCATACGAGACAGAGGTTGTGCTCCAAACCGCGTAACGCGCGTGCACACACGGCTGCACGCACTCGGCAGAGAGGGGATG